CAGAAGGACCTCCAATTAGAATATACAGCTATGTACTGGGGGGCTTTGGGGAGACGAAGAAGAAAAAGAAGAGCGGCAACAGATGTTAGCTCAGGTGCCAATCTTTAAAACAAAAAAGAAGTCATTTGTTAAAAAAAAAAAAAAATCACAGTGGACATGAAAGAAATGGAGACAAAAAAATAGAAAAAATCAATGAAACTAAGAGCTGGTTCTTTGAAAAGATAAACAAAGTTGACAAACCTTTAGCTAGACTCACCAAGAAAAAAAGAGAGAAGGCTCAAATAAATAAAATCAGAAATAAAAGAGGAGAAATTATAATGGACACCTCAGAAATACAAAGGATTATAAGAGCATACTATGAAAAGCTATATGCCAACAAACTGGATAATCTAAAAGAAATGGGTAAATTCTTAGAATCATAAAATCTTCCAGAACTGAATCAAGAAGAAGTAGAGAATTTGAACAGACCAATCACCAGTAAGGAGATTGAAACAGTAATCAAAAGTCTCCCAAAAAACAAAAGTCCAGGACCAGATGGTTTCCACAGTGAATACTACCAAACCTTCAAAGAAGATTTAATACCTATCCTTCTCAAACTCTTCCAAAAATTGAAGAGGAGGGCAAACTTCCTAATTCATTCTATGAAGCCAACATTACCCTGATACCAAAGCCAGACAAGGACAACACAAAAAAAGAAAATTACAGGCCAATATCACTGATGAACATTGATGCAAAAATTCTGAACAAAATACTAGCAAATCGAACACAACAATACATTTAAAAAAATCATACACCATGATCAAGTGGGATTTATTCCAGGGATGCAGGGATGGTTCAACATCCACAAATCAATCAACATGATACACCACATTAACAAAATGAAAAATAAAAATCACATGATCATCTCAATAGATGCAGAGAAAGCATTTGACAAGATACAGCATCCATTTATGATAAAAACTCTGAATAAAATGAGTATAGAAGTACCTCAACATAATAAACGTAATATATGACAACCCCCTAGCTAATATCATACTCAATGGTGAAAAACTGAAAGCTATCCCTCTAAGAACAGGAACCAGACAGGGATGCCCACTTGCACCAGTCTCATTTAACATAGTATTGGAAGTCTGAGCCAGAGCAATCAGTCAAGAAAAAGAAAGAAAAGGGATCCAAATTGGAAAGGAAGTAGTAAAACTGTCACTATTTGCAGATGATATGATTTTATACATAGAAAACCCTAAAGAATCCATCAAAAAACTACTAAAAATAACAAATGAATACAGTAAAGTTACAGGATATAAAATTAACATACAAAAATCAGTTACATTTCTATACACTAAAAATGAAATAGCAATCCCATTCACAATCACAACAAAAAGAATAAAATACTTTGGAATAACTTTAACCAAAGAGGTGAAAGACCTGTACACCAAAATCTATAAAACATTGTTGAAAGAAATTGAAGAAAGCATGAAGAAAGATATTCCATGCTCATGGATTGGAACAGTTAACATAGTTAAAATGTCCCTACTTCCTAAAGCAATCTACAGAAGCAATGCAATCCCTATCAAAGTCCCAATGACATTTTTCACAGAAATAGAGTAAAGAATCCTAAAATTTATATGGAACAAAAGACTTGGAATAGCCAAAGAAATCCTGAGAAGACAGAACAAAACTGAAGGTATCATACTCCCTGATTTCAAAATATACTACAAAGCTATAGTAATCAGAACAACACAGTATGGCACAAAAACAGACACACGGATCAATGGAACAGAATCAAGAGCCCAGAAATAAAGCCACACATCTATGGATAGCTAATATTCAACAAGAAAGCCAAGAACATACAATGGAGAACAGAAAGTCTCGTCAATAAACGATGTTGAAAAACTGGAAAGTCACAAGCCAAAGAATGAAAGTAGACTATTATCTTACACCATTCACAAAAATTAACTCAGACTAAAGGCTTGAATGTAAGACCTGAAACCATAAAACTTCTAGGAGAAAACACAGGCAGTTTGCTCTTTGACATCAATTGTAGCAGCATCTTTTTGAAGACCATTTCTCACCAGGCAAGGGAGACAAAAGAAAAAATAAATGGGACAACATCAAACTAAAAAGCTTCTGCACAGCAAAGGAAACCATCAACAAAATGAAAAGACAATCTAAAATTGGGAGAAGATATTTGCAAACCATATATCTGATAAGAGGTTAATATCTAAAATACATAAAGAACTCATACATCTCAACAATGAAGAAACAAACAACCCAATTTAAAAATGGGCAAAAGATATGAACAGACGTTTTTTCCAAAGAAGATATACAAATGGCCACAAGGCACATGGAAATATGTTTGAATTTGTGACAACATGGATGGACCTTGAGGGTATTATGCTGAGTGAAATAAGTCAGAGAGAGAAAGTCAAATACCATATGATTTCACTCATAAGCAGAAGATAAAAACAATGACAAATAAACACGTAGCATTGGAGATTGGATTGGTGGTTACCATAGGGGAAGGGGGGAGAGGGGATGGCAAAAGGAGTGATTAGGCTCAGATGTGAAGGGATGGACTATAATTAGTTTTTGGGTGGTGAACATGATGTAATCTCCACAGAATTCGAAATATGTTATGATGTACATCCGAAAATTAATTAATTAATTTTTAAAAAAAGAAAAGATGTTCGAAATCACTAATTATCAGGGAAATGCAAATCAAAACTACAATGATATATCATCTCACGCCCATCACAATGGCTATAACTAACAAGACGAGAAATAACAAGTGTTGGAGAGGATGGGGAAAAGGTAACTCTCATACACTGCCAGTAGGAATGTAAACTGGTGCGGCCACTATGGAAAACAGTATGGAGATTCCTCAAAAGATTAAGAATAGAACTACCATATGATCTACCTATTCCACTTCTAGGTATGTTCATTGCAGCATTATTCACAATAGCCAAGACTTGGAAGCAACCTAGGTGCCCGTCAATGGATGAATAGATAAAGAAGATGTGTTATATATACACAATGGAATATACTCATCTATAAAAAAAATTAAATCTTGCCATTTGTAACAACTTGGCTGGATCTTGAGGGTATTATGCTAAGCAAAATAAGTCAGACAGAGAAAACCAAATACCATATGATCTCATTCATAAATAGAAGCTAAAAACAATAACAAAAACAAACAAACACATAGATACAGAGATTAGATTGGTGGTTACCAGAGAGGAAGTGGGGAGGGAGGTGGGCAAAAGGGGTGACTGGGAACATGTGTACAATGATGGATGGTAATTAGTCTTTGGTCAGTGAACATGATACAGTCTACACAGAAATCAAAATATGATGTACACCTGAAATTTATATGTTATAAACCAATGTTTCCTCAACAGAAATAAATAAATAAATAGAAGTAGATGAAAAAAAAACAATGATGACCCAAAACTAAAAAAACAAAAAAAATGGAATTTAAAATATTATGCTGGCTTCTTGACAAACTTGTACTCATTCTCTCACTTCTGAATCTTGTGTTTAACAAAACAAAAGGATATTGACTCCAGAAGATGGCTCAATAAGAATGGGAAACATCAGGGGAAAAAATGTTTATCCCCATTTTACAGGGATAAACACCAACTGATGTTCAAGAGAAATTAGGTGACATTCCAAGAACATACAACCAGGAAAGCTCATCAAAGATTTCAATTTAGGTTTGCCCAAATCTGGAATTCATTCTCTTTCTACCATGAGAACTTTCTAGGATGGTGGAAGACTGGTGTGTTACCTATAGCACTGCTAACCTAGAGATACCTACTAAAGACAGAATGGCTTTAACTAGCATAAAAAACAATAAATATTTTTCCCTTGCCAGCTGGCACAATGTTAAGCTTTGCCAGTAGAGGGCACAGGAGGAAAGGGTTTTCTTCCTGGTTCTGGTGAAGCATATTTGTCATTCTCTCGTGTCACACTCAGCTTCCCCAGTGCCTGGCAGCCAGCAGCTCCCGGTGGCCAGCAGCTTCCCCAGTGACTCCCCTCAGAAGATTTTGTAGCAGAATGCCTTCAGTGAGATACTTCCCTGTGAACAGCTTTCCTTGACACCACAGAAGGCTGATTTCTGGCAAGTCCTGCCAGCTTGCACCATAGCGACTTCCAGTGCCCCTTCCAACAAGGTATATTAAACTTTCCCATTAGTGTGTGGTTTCTCTCTCCTGATTGGGCCAAGACTAATATACCTGGTTTCTAAATTCATAGGGATGGTGACATCATTAATAAATATGAAAAAGAGGGAGGGGGGAGGTTCGAAAGGCAGATAATTGTTCTGTTTTGTACATAGTAAACTAAGGTCTTGACAGGCATTCAGGAGACAGTCAAGAACAGGGTTTGACATTATCTGATGCTTTTCCAAAATACAGACATCTTAATCCACCTACTGAGATGTTTTTTCAGATGTAGTATGAGATTAGGGCACAGACACCTGTACTTTTTTTAATATCCACAGATGGTTCTCATGTGCAATTGCAATATTTGGCAGTATGGGGTGCTGATTAAGAAAATATTTTTGGGGGCTGGCCCAGTGGTGCAGTGGTTAAGTTGGCATGTTCCGCTTCAATGGCCTAGGGCTCACTGGTTCAGATCCCGGGTGCGGACACGGCACTGTGTGGCAAGTCATGCTGTGGTAGGCGTCCCACACATAAAGTGGAGGAAGATGGGCACAGATGATAGCTCAGGGCCAGTCTTCCTCAGCAAAAAGAAGAAGATTGGCAGTAGATGTTAGCTCAGGGCTAATCTTCCTCAAAAAAATTAAAAAAGAGGGGAGGAGGACAGCGCCATTCCGCCCGGCCGCTCCCTGCGTCCCCTCTCCCTGCCCCGCAGTGGCCCGCGAGCCGCCGGCGAAGGAGCGCGCGCCTGACGCGGCCCGCCCTGCTCGCTCCCCGCCGGCGTCCGCCGTCCGTCCGCTCACGGCCCGGGCCGCGGCCAGCGAGCCGCTCTGAGGCGGGCCGCGCGGAGTCGTGGGGCCGCCGCCGTGGCCCTCGCTGTCGGCGCCTCGCCGCCCGCCCGCGGTGCCCGCGCACGCCGGCCGCCATCGTCTTCGCGCCTGGCGGGCGGGGGCGCTGTCCTGCCCGGCCGTCCGCGCCGCGCATTGCAGCTCGGCGGAGCGCGGCAGCCAGGGCCGGCGGAGGCGCGAGAAGCCGGGCGCCGGCGCCGCGGGGGCCATGACCGTGGAGCAGAACGTGCTGCAGCAGAGCGCGGCGCAGAAGCACCAGCAGACATGTTTGAATCAGCTGAGAGAAATTACTGGGATCAACGATGACCAGATACTACAGCAAGCTTTGAAGGATAGCAATGGAAACTTGGAGTTGGCAGTGGCTTTCCTCACTGCGAAGAATGCCAAGACCCCTCAGCAGGAGGAGACAACTTACTACCAAACCGCGCTTCCTGGCAGTGATAGATACATCAGTGTGGGAAGCCAAGCAGATACGAATTGTATTTCATTGGTATATCCTTTCATAGAGCACCTCATGGAGTATTCATTGTTTTGAAATATGGAACAGCTACAGTGTTACTCATTAAAGAAACAAAAATTTCTAGAATTTTAAATGGGCAAAATCATTTGTTTTATGGATTTTAAGTGTTGGTAGAGGCTTAGTATTATTTTTGAAGATAAAGTAGTATTTTTAATTACTGATAGCTTTACCATTTAGTAGAATTTCCCTTCTTTCAATCCCTGCCCCTCCCCAAAATAAAGATTTTGGAGAAAGGTTTATTACCATGTAACAAAATAAGCACACATACATGCGCACACACAGGTACATATGGAAAATTTTATGGACTAATTTTTATTCATAACATGAATACTTTGTGCTTATATAGCACTGAGTTTTTCAAAATACATTCAGTTACCTCCATATCTCATTGTGGTGTAACTGTGTTATATAAAATGTAGGTATTTATTTTTATGCATTCTCAATTAGAGAAGTTTGATTACTAACTTGTATTGGAAGAGAATTTCTGATTTTGTTTACTTTTTGAGACTTTCTCAAAGTTAGGAAATAACCAGGAAGAACCCATTCACATAGATGTTTATAGCTATTAATTGGCATTAAATACTGTTTAATGTTGGTTGATTTCAAGTTTTCAGGATAATCTTAGTATTTTTGCTCTACAAATGATCTTATGTCGGCTAAGCCTGGAATACTCCTACTTCACACAGATAATAGGTGATAATCGGGAGAAGTTTTATGTGTGTAAGACAGACCCAGTTGCTGTGTCCAAGTTGAAGACACACTGTGGCTTGACTCCTGTCTGCATCTCTGGCTTCGTTTTCTACTGTTTTGTTCTTTTCTCTTTACACTGTGATGACGCAGAATGGCTTGAAGTTCTCATCCACCCAGTGCTATTTAATTTCTTTTGTCTTTATGCTTGCTTTTCCTTAGAAGGAATCCCTTCTAGCCTTTACCCCCAGCCTAATTTCTTCTGGCGTTGTAGGATTTAGCTCAGGAGCTAATGGCTCTAGAATGTTTCCCCTGGCCTCTAGTTTGGACCAAGTGCTTTTCCAGCACCCAGAGCATACCTGTGTCTTAATGAGTACTGTGTTATTTTAAAATTATTTGCTTGTGCCTTTCTTGCTTACCAAACATGAAGCCTAACAGGGCAAGAGACTATTGATGTTCCCATCATCATATTAGAATGTCATAGTTTCTCAAAAAGTGTTTGTTGAGTTATTTTTGATAATATGTGTAAAAACGCCATCCCCAGAGGCCCACCTCTGAAGACAATTTGGTGGACTGGACCCTCCTCAGGGCCACCTTGGGAAGCTTATACTGAAGATGGCAGGGCCACATGAGGAAAGGAGCCCTGGTCACTGTGTCACCCCAGGAGAGTCACTTCCACCCAGGAACACTTGGATTGAATGAGGACATATTGTCTCAACCAAAATCCATAAAATGTTAAGATTGCCAGTTCATATTGATGACTCTTGAGTTGTTTGGATTGGAATCCTGGTCTCTTAGTTCATACCTTCAGGGACACCCTTCAGTCTTTGCCCTTGCTTGTCCCCAGTGACCAACCAGAAGGACAGAGGGAGCCTCAGACTAGGAAGATTGGGGAGCTGTGTGGGCAGTCCCAGGCGTCCCTGCACAGAAGGAAACTTGAAAACAGGAGGAGAGTGGGCCTCACCCAGGGATGGCCCCCACCACTTGCTCTTGTGCACAGAAAGGGACATGGCCTGGCCCTGCTTTGTCCCCTAGGTGTGCTGTAGGGCCAGGTGGGCCTAGACTGGCAGAGCCAGGCTGCCATCAGCCCTGTCCACCTCCCCCAGTGCCTGGAGAAGTGAGACCCCTTCTACTTTCAGAGCTCACTTAGGGGTCTGTTTCCTAGACCCTAGCTGGCCTCCCCTCCCCCAACCAACTGACACACCCTGGTTCTGGCCACCTGTTTACTTTGGAGATGGAACACTCCTCAGGGTTCCGAGCGGTCAGTTGTGGCCCACAGGGCACTGGCACTCAGAGGCACAGCTGTGGAGCTCTCCCCAGCCATGGAGGGCCTGCTGCCTGCCATCGCATCCGCTTTCCAGCTGATCCTGGGGTACCTGTGGTGTGCTCTGCTGGTGATTTCGGAAAGCTTGAGCCAGAGGCCAGGTCTCCCTGCGTTCCCCTGGGAGATCCTGGTATGTACTGTGGTGGTGGCTTTGATAGTAAAGACAGGACATATTTTCAGAAGAGGGAAGTCTCCAGGCGAAAGGTGTTCTGCCTGCAGTGAAGTCAGTGGAGAATGTGGGGAGAATACAGGACCTGAGAACCGAGCCGAGGAAGCCCTTCAGTGCCCTCGGGTGGAGGCCAGTCCTCTCCCGTTACAAACCTTGTGCTTGGCAGCAATGAATACAATGGTGAGCACATCAGCACTTCAGGACACTGTCGACCTTCTGGAAAAGGCTTTGAAGAGCCTGCCTGTTAAAGTCTCCAAAGCAAATGATGCAAACCCCATCTCAAAATCATCAGAGAAGGATGGAGAACAACTTCAGAAGAACACAATGAATGATTTGAATGAAAACACTCCTTTTCCAGCAAGTCCATTAGTGCTCCGCCAAGACATGCCGAGATGGGAGAAGACGGCACAGGAAAAGGAGGAGAAGAACGGAAGGCTGGAGCAGTCGAACACACAAATACTGTCCATCCTGAAAGATCAAGTCGGCCAAATCCTGCCAGCGGTCGCAGTCCCGCTGCACACCGTCCCTTTGCCTGACCTCCTTGCCCAGCAAATGGATGACGGGAATGCGGAAGTCCAGCAAAAGAGGGAAGCAGGAAAGGGGGAACCCCCCATCCCTAAGTCAGAAGTTGGTCTGAAGGGGGTCACTGATGATGCTGACCTCAGCGCGCCCCTTCAAAGTCCTGAAGAGGAACATCAAGAAGGAGCCAGACGGTTGTGGCAAGAAAAGCAAATGAAGGAAGAGCTTCCAAGACAAATCCCCTCCTTCCAAACCGAGGAAGCAACTTTGCAGCACGAAAACGCCAAGCTTGAAAGTGAGATTCAGAAGCTGAAGCTCAAACTTCAAATTCTGCATGAGCTACATGATGAAGAAGTTGGGCCACTTTACAGAAAATTCTTTGAGGAGGAAAGGGTCTGCTCCGAGTTGGACAAGAAGCTCCTCAACGTGTGCTGGGAGATGAACTCCACGTACCAGCTTCGCAACCTCTACAAGAAGATGGCTGAAGACCTGGCCCAAGAAGTGAAGACGTGCACTTCCTACTATCACAAGGAGAACCTCTTCCAGATGCAAAGAGCCAAAGAAAGCAAGAGGGCAGCCGTGTTGGCAGAGAGAAAGCTCGAGGAGCTAAGAAGAGAAAATGAACACAACAGGCAAAGGCTGGCCATGTTGGAGGCCTCGTTCCAGCCTTTGCCAAGAGGCAATTTTCCTCCAGCTGCTCCTCCCACGGTCCCCAGAGGCCCAGAAGTGTGGGGGATCCCCTGGGCCGGTAGGACCCCCCAGGAAGGAAGATGGCCCTGCCACGAGGCCTCAGGGGTCTGGGGTCACCTGCAGATTTGACTCAGCATCCACAGCAGCTGGGCCCTTAGCACCCCAGCCACGGCAGGACATCTGCACAGGTGTTCTCTTTTCAAAGGAATTTTGATTTTTCTCTTTTTAGTTTAGCTATTATTACTTAATTGATTATTCTTATTCAAGTAGATAAAGCATTCTAATGTGTAAGATATTTTTTCAAATAAAGTTTCATTTAATACCTTTAAAAAAAATTAAAAAAGAAAGTAGTTTTGTAGTTAGATTAATCTGGGTTTAAATCACAGTTTTGCCTTTTATTATTGGTGACTTTGAATAACGATGAGCCTCTTCTGCAAAATGTGCCTAGTAATATTTAGCTGTTTACATTTTAATGATCAAATCAAATGAAGACATGTAATTACCATAGCTCTTGGCACATCATAATATTTTAGTAAATGGTAGGAGTGATTATTCTTCTCATATGTTCTGAATCTACTTTATTTTTCTATATTTTGCTTATCCCCAACTGATATATTGTACATTTATATCGTTATTTTACAATTCACCTCTCTATAAAGTAAACTCCAAGAAAGCAAAGAATTTGTTCTAATCATAGTTGCTCTCTAGGGCCCAGGACCAATGTAAGTACTCAGAAAGTGTTGGTTGAGTGAATGAGTGATACAGATCTGAGCAGCAGCATGATATTTAGGGAGCAGAATCAGTTGCCCTGAAAGAGCAAGAGAGAGTTGAACTTAAAACAAAGCCAATATTTGAAAAATAGGAAGAAGATAAGCAGTGAAAGATATTGTAGAGGAGGAAAACTGTTTCTTCTCCCCTCTTAGGTTCTTTTCTTGGGATCTGTGAATTAAAGTGACAAGGGACAGATGAACAAGAGAAAAGGCATACAAATTTTATTTGATGTTAATTTTTACATGTACACAGAGGTCTTCATAGAAAATGAGAAGACCCGAAGGGACATTTAGACCCAGGGGCTTATATACCATTTTAACAAAGGGTCATAAATTGTGGAGACCTAACTAGACAAAGGAAAGGGGTGTGGGCTTCTGAGGGCAGTAAGTTGTGGGAAGATAAATATGTGGGAGAAATTAATGGAAGATAAGGGTTACTTAGTAAAGTATTGTTTATTCAGACTCATCTTGGTGCTATCTCCACCTCCAGTGATAAAGGTTGTTTTTCCCTTCCTGGTATGAGAGAGGGAAACATCCTCACAAAGAGAAATTTATGCCCTGTTGTTTTAGGCAGATAGGGGAGGTAGAGAAATTTTCCTGCTTCTGATGTTTATCAGTTGCCGTTAGCTCAAAATAATCCTTACACCAAAGTGGCATATTCTGAACCCCTTTAACATTAATGAGGACAAGTCACAGAAGAAGAGAATGAGGAGAGGATAGAGGAAGAAGCCAATGGAATAACATGATAGAATAACCAGGGGGCTGATTAACATCTTTATGGAGGATTGAGAGTGAAAATTGGCCCCTGGGTTTGGCAATGAGGGAGTCAGTGGTGACTTGACCTGCTGTAGTGAGAGTAGAGGCAGTACCTCTCTGGATCTCTGAAAGCCATAATAGTAAAACCAATATGTAATTCTAACAAGCACAACATAGTCAAAACTATGTAAGAAGAGATTTCACTGTAGCTCACTGATGGTCCTAAATTTATTTAGAGGAAGATGAAATGGTCCACATGGGAACCATGAATCTGCTCAAAGAAACAAAATTTATTTGTACAGCACAAATCTCAGCCTCTGAGCTACAAACTTGGGTTTCCAAACCTGCCAAATATCAATGTTCTAGAAATAGTTACCTCCACGTGTGATCAGTTAAAATCATGAACCATTAAAATAATAAGCTCTTAAGTTATCAAGCTCACTGCTTGAAATGCTGGCTCACAAACAACTTTCTTTACATAATTTGGCTTCTTGTGCACTTTTAGTATTGAGAAAGAATTCTTGTCCATAGAGCAGAAATAATTCTCACTTCAAACAGTAGTATGTTGGATTCTGGTTTAATATCAGGCCACTATGAGTTTGACCACCATAAGTCTATCTACCTAGATCTGATCACTTCTGAGACACTTGGAAAATTTCACTTGTAGATGGAAAAGCTGAGGTTCAGTGTCCAGAGTGTGATGACTTTAGAAAATAAAACATACCGTTAGCCAAAAATGGGAGTGCAACCTTCATTTCTTTCCAACCATCTCTGACCACAAATTGGAGTTGCTCTGACTGAAACAGGCACATCCTCGGAGTTGTCAGTATTTGGATATGATGCAGACATGCAGCCTGGGTTTACTAGTCAAACAAGCTCATGTTATCCTTGTTACAAGTTTGTCAGCAAAATAATAATAGCTGATTTTGTCTAGTGTCTCATGAAGTTTTCATGGGTAGTTGAAATACAATTGTTGGAAACAAATGATTTAGATAAAAATAGGAAAGAGTTTTGGGGTACAATAATTATGTTTTATGGTCTGTATACTTGAAAAAACAGCTTCCAAATTCTTCTTGATAACAAAACTTTAGAGTTTTGCTAATGAAGTTAAATGATAAAAACTTTATTGAGTATCTAGGTCATTTGCACATAAGATAAAATACTAGAAATTGATTATTAAGCAGAGATCTGTCTGCCTTTGGTCTCTTACCTCAGAGAAACTGAAAAATGCTTGGGTTTGTTGATAAACATGTTTTGTACATGCTGAGAAAATTTCTATGAGAAAGCATATATTTCTAGAAAGTCTGTATACAAGGAAAGTAAAATGTTTTTAGTAAAGAAGGTATAAAGAATAGAGATTTTTTGTTAGTTTTGTTAAGAAAGATAGATTTGTCCTAAAGTACTAGAAGAAAAGGCAGTATGGGACAAATTATGAATGTAAAAATGAAATTAGAGAAGGTTTGTGGAAAAAAAGAGACCTTGAGAAAAGAGTTCTATGCATGGCCAAGCTGGCTAAGATTGGAACAAACTTAATTAAATAAACGAGTTTCAATATCAAAAGCTGGTGCAAAATTAGAATTTGATTTTTTTTCCTTCTCTTAAATGGATAATTTTCTTAAACTTTTAGTCTGCTCTTGGTAAAGAGATTGTTTTTATGTTTCATCAAAATAAATTTCCTGTATTGGTTTTATCAGATATTTAATCAGAGGTGCTAAGGTTTTTCTTAGAGGTATTTAATTTTCTGCATTTGCCTGAAAATCTTCAATTGTCTCATGGTTAAATGGATAACTAAGCATTGTTTCATAGGGACCTATTATATTATGTTGGTAAATGTTATTCATATAAGTGTTTTAAAACTATATAACATTACTAAAATTCTGATCTATCCTGGTTATCAGTCATAATTCTAGTTATTATCTTAAAGTGTTGTATGTCACAGAAATAACCACATTTCTTTATCAATTGCCATTTTGAAGTCTTTTGTCATTTACTGGCAGTTATTGTTTTACTCTGATGCTTTTGCAAATATGTTTCATCTTCAGAGAAATTCATAGAAAGGACTCTGACACTCTAGAATATAAATTTCACATAAACTTGCAGATCATAAAACTGAACTGGGTAAAATTTTACAGAATTCTAATGGAAAAACTGACTTCATGAAACTGCTAACAGAAGGTCAAGATCAAGAGTTCACTTCATGAGACTAAATGAAGTGAAGAGGCTGGTTATAATTCTTACAACTTTTTGTTTGAAATACCACTGATTTTTTGAAGAAGAAGAAGATTGGCCCTCAGCTAACATCTGTTTCCAATCTTCCTATTTTTTTTCTCCCCAAAGCCCCAGTACATAGTTGTGTATCCTAGATGCAAGCCATTCTAGTTCTTCTATGTGGAATGCTGCCCCAGCATGGTTTGACAAATGGTATGTGGGTCTATGCCCAGGATCTGAACCAGCAAACCCCAGGCGACCAAAGCATAGTGTGTGAACTTAACCCCTCAGCCATGGGGCTGGCCTCTGCCACTGATTTTTTAATTTTTTTTTCAGATTTAAAGAAATATTTTTCTTTTTACTCTTAAGCTAATTATGACATAACAATTTGGTAAACTTTACCTTTGTAAGCAGAATTGAAACATTTATCTTTTTCTCCCCAGCTTATCCCTCCAGAATTTGAGAACTCTTAGTGAGTGGATGAGTATTGTTGTTTTCATGGCAATATAGTTATTTGCATAAGTTCAATAAGAATCTGTTCTCCATAACAGGACACAACTGGAAACATTCGTTATATTAACAAAGCTTTGACTGGAATGCCATATTTGATAGAAACAAGCATAGACTAAGATATGACCAGACAGCTTTTATGGACTTTATGAAGTAAAGCCACTTGGAAACATTGGCCTGGTACCTTTCTTAAACAGTTCCCAGCAACCTTACCAGGTGAGTAAAGACTGTCACTTCTCTGGCTGGTGAAACGAAACTCAAGGATATTTTTGGGAAGCTCAAGAGAAGAGAGGAATTCACCCACATCTAAGGTATTGCAGGTGGAGTATGAGCCCTTGGCTTGATTTTCCTGGCCTCAAGAGGCCTTTAAAGTTCAACTGAGGTTCCTTATGAAAAGTTCCAGCAAAGCAGATTTAATAGAGCCTATATGATCAATTGCTATTCTTACTGTACTTGCATTAATAATTGGGCCAAGTTTATTAAAACTAGGCTTATTTTGCAAACCAGTTATTCTTAATTTGGCTATCTTTGGTAAAAATGAGGACGATTTTAGAGAGAAAAATTATGTTGCAGTAAAAACTATGGTACACACTTGCAGATATTAGATTCTAATTCTGTTTATTGTCTTTGAGGTTTCTGTTTTCTACCTGTAAACTGGACTGGATCCTGAATTCTTGTAGTCTCCTGAAATATCAGGCTATTCCTTATAATTAAATTGGGGATTAAATCTGTTTCTAAACTAATCCCTAAGCTGTCTGTGTCAGTGACTCAATGACTCCCTTTCTGGAGTCATGGTGGCCCTCCAATTCACTATAAGACATGAGTGACTCTCTTTCATTCAATGGTCCCCCTATGCTGACCCCATTGAGCAGGAAGTAGCCAGACAGACAACTAGCCTGTTCCCATTACTAGCATATCATTATGCTGGGTTACAAATGACAGTAGGGAATTGTTGGCACCACTCACATGAACAGAAATCTTTACTGTACATATTAAAGATTTTGTTCTTATTATCTTTAAACTAAAACAAGGTGTAGGGTGTTGCTCTGGTCTCTGATGCATATCTAGTAAAACAAAAGATTACCAGGAACTAAGACCA